AACCCCTGCCCTCCCCCAGCCCCTGCCCCAAGTACGAGAAAAGGACACCCTTCTCTGTCTGCTCAGCCTTGGAACCAGGGTCTCCAGGCCCTGCTGCTGAGCCAAGCCCACCCCCACCCCCGGGGTGTCTGCAGAGGGGTCAGGGACCAGCCTCATATACTCCAGGTGGGGCCCAGGTGCCAACCAGAGATGGTATCTCGACTGCTCTGCAGAGGCCTGGACATCCCAGGGCCAATTTACATTCTTTGGTCTGGGTTTGCTGGAGCTAAAATGAGGTGGGGGCAGGGGCCCCAAATCCACAGGACCTGCAGACAGGGTCTTGGCTGCCCCACCTGGGGCAGTTCTGACCCCACCTTTGGGGTGGCAGTTTGCATCCACCTGGTGTGGCAGCCACCAAGGGGAAGGTGGCCAGAGCTCGGTGCCCTGCTGGTCTGGGCTGGACATCCTTCACCCAGCCCCCACACACGTGCACTCAGCACCCTCCAGGTCCACACGTGGTGCCCGTGGCCTGTACATGTGTGTGCAGTTCTGTGTGCTACCTACACACACGTCTGCTCCCCGTGCCTGCCCCCACAGGATGAGGCCCTCCAAGGGCTCCCACCTCACCCTCGGTCCCCTAGACACACACAGCCCATGGGCTCCAGCTCCATCCCGCTCACCAAGCTCTGAGGCTGAACACATGTGGGTCCCCAGCCCTGTGGGTGTCCACAGGCTGCTGCCCTCCGAGGCTGGATCAGCCCTGGGCGAGCAGAGGGGTGGTGACGGGCAGTGGGCAGGGCTGAGCAGGGACCTGGATGGACATCTGTCCCTATCCTCAGGGTAAGCATGGACCCCAACAGGTGCAGAGGCTCTGGGGGCTACAAGGCTGCAGGACCCTCAGCCAGAACCTCCAAAGCAGAGACCATTCCCCACACCACCCCCACCCGAGGACTGTTCTGAGGCCACGGGTTCTTCCAGGGCTGCACCCCACCCCCACCCGCATGAGAACACAGTGACCAGGCGACACGGAAGGCAGGGGACTCTTTATTGCTGTGACCACATGTTTAACACAGGGCTGTGGGAATGGGCGACCAGGTAGCTCCCCATGGCCCCGGGGGGTCCTCTCGATGAAGCTCCTCTGGGACCCACCGGCATCCTCACATGCCCAGGAGCAGGCCGGAGAAGCTGGAGCCACTCTGGACGGTTAGGGCTGCCCCAGAGCCATTATCCACGAAGATGGAGGCATACTGTCCAGCCTGCATACACCCCACAGTGGACATCACCACCCACAGGGCCTGCCTGCCCATGGGGAGCACATGGGGCACCCACCCGGGGGTCCTGAGTGGCCACATGGCCAATCTCCATCTATGTGCTGGGCTAGGGTACCCCTCTGAGGCTGAGTTACGGGACCCCTCCTGCCCGCCCAGCCCCTCTGGTCTCACCTGCAGCTGAAGCAGCCCCTGAACCAGCACTGTGAAGATCCTGCCACTGCCTTCCAGGCCCGAGATGGCCTCCAGGGATCTGGACATGGTGCCCAGGGTGAGGGCACAGCAGCCTGAGGGCCTGGACCCCACTCCAGGGCTCAGTTCCACCTTTTGTTGGGGCAGCCCCTCCACTCTCCATGGGCAGGACAGTCTACACTCAGGCACCCACCCCCAGCCCCCTGCAAGCCCCCTACATCAAGGGTGGCCCCCAGGAGGCCCACTCACGTGTGGCGATGGCACAGGGACTCAATGCAGATGAGCACCCGCACTGTGTCGCGGGCCCGGGCCCTGCCCTGCAGCCCCCTGCAGTCTGTGGGGAGGGCAGAGCAGAGAGAGCGGAGCTGGGGGCTTCCGGGCATACTGCCCAAGACAGGCCCAGGAGTGGCTGCTAGTTGGAGATGGGTAGACGTGGGACCCCGTCTAAGCCCCCAGTGGGAGCAGGGTTTGGAGTAGCAGGCAGCTGTGCAATGGGACCCAGTCCTGCGGCCTGTGATGTGGGGGCCCACCTGGGAGAACCTGCCCCACCCCCACATGGCCCGGCCCTGCTCACCCAAGTGCAGGCTGGCGGAGAACTGGAAGATGGCGGTCACTGGGGCTGTGAATCGGCCAGAGGCCAGACTCAGGCCAGAGCCCCGCAGGAAGGCACCCTGGGCAGTGGGCTGCAGGGACAGCAGGTGAGCATCGAGCTACAGGGCCTAGAAGAGGCGCCTACAACCAATAGCCTCCAAAGCAAGCACACCCCAGGTGGGCAGGACAGAGGGTGTGACCTATGCATCTGCACCTACCTGGGCCTCTGGCCTCAGGCCCCAGGGGCAGAAGAGGCCCCACGAGCCCCCACAGGAGAGAGAACCCTGACACCTGGCCACCTTGGACCCCACTCGAAGGCTTAGTGCAGGATGGGAGTCTGGGCACGCGGGACCCAGCCCTGACCCATAGTAGCCACTCCCCCAGGACCCCGCTGGGTAGATGTGCCCCTGGCCATCCATGGAGGTGAACCCCCTCATCTGGGGGGGTGCCCCAGCATCCTGCCCCCAGCAGTGCCCCCAGAGACAACCAGGGCTTGCAGGGCCCCTCAGGTACGCCCCCAGCACACTCACAGCCTGGAAGCCCTGCAGCTCCACCAGCGTTTTCTTGTCCACCAGCACAGGACCCTTCAGCCGGCAGTGGAAGGCCTCAGCCACCAGCCGCCCACCCGTCCCCTCGGGCAGCAATGAACCCCAAACCCCTGAGAAACGACGCTCGGAGGCCTCTGTGGGGACAATGGCGGGAGCAGCAGGTTGGGGTCACCTCCAGAGCCTTGGGGACCTGCCTGAGCATCTGGGAGGAGTAGGGGCAGGGGCACCTCACCTCTCAGCATCTCCTGAAACTCCTGCAGCAGAGTCTCTTGTGTAACTTCTGCACCAGGGGGTCCTGGGGGACCTGGGGGCCCGGGGGGGCCTGGGGGGCCAGAGAGGCCTCGCTGGGAGAGGCAGGAGGACATGAGGATCCCAGCAGGAGCCACAGCCACCCCTGCCCTGGGCTCAGACCCCAGGCTCACCAACTTCTTGTCCCGCCCTCGGCACCGTTTCTTCGAGGCCCCGTCATCTGGCCGGCGAACAAAGTTTAGCCAGGTCGTGTGGGCATCTGAGAACTCAGGCCCTGAGGCCTCGGGCGGCTAAAGGGCGAAATGGCAGGGCTAGTGTGCTGACCTGGGCCCCACTGGGTCCTCCCTGCTGCCCCAGGGGAGAGCAGGAACCCTTAGGGCCCAGGCCGCCTCAGGTAATACTTGGGGAATAAGACGAGGGAGCACCGAAGGCCATGCCTGGGGACTCAGGCCAGGACCTCAGGCAGGGTGACAGCTTGGGGCCTTTTTGAAAGATAAGCATGATGTCTGGACACCTTGGCTCTGGCTGTGTGTTGGAGCAACCTGTCCCCTTCCACTGTGCCCTGTTTCCAAACAGACAGGCACACCTGTGTACACACAGGGCCAGCCTCACGTGTCCCAACAGGGGCTTGGCCCTGGCCAAGGCGGGCGGTAGACAGGAGCAAGTTTTCCAATGGCCTTTCTGAGAGTCCTGGAGTGTCTCGCTAAGCTAGGGAGGGGACTGGACCCAGGCCCCAGCTGCCAGCCCACCTTGCTGTCCGAGGAAGGGCTGGGAAGGGCAGTGCAGAGCTGCCTAAGCGCCAGGCAGGTGGGAGAGGCAGGGACATCCCTGCCTGTGTCTGAGAGGGAGACCCGTGCTCAGTGAGGGGGTCTGGAGAGAGAGGGGGGCAGGCTGGAGAGAGAGCCTGCCATCTCTGAGAAAGTCTGTGCCGGACTCAGACAGGAAGCCCATAAAGTGGGCAGAAGCGGAGCAGATGCTGGCCTGGCTGGGAGAAAACCACTGCCACGAAGTCAGAGTCCTGGCCACCCCTGGAGAGCCATCCCAGGCAGGGCAAGCCCAGGGGTCCTGGCCCCAGGTCCAGTCCTGCAGTCAGCCCTCAGACACAGACACAGACACCACAGACACAGCAAGAGCCAGACTCCTGGGGCAGGGGTAGCCTCCTGACCAGGGTTAGGCTGGCTCTTCCCAGTGGACCAGACAGGCCTCTGTCCTGGGGGGCTGGGAGGGACAGGCAGGGTAGGGATGCCTCCCGCCCCAGACCTGGGCCCTACCCAGGGAAGAGAGAAGCCAAGAACACTCAAATGCCCCCTGATTCCTGCCTGTGTCCCTGGCCACCACAGACCCTATCTGCACATGAGGTACCCAGGGGCCCTAAAGAGCCAGGTGGGGGCAGATGGAGGCAGAGCAAGGGTCCTGATGTGTGGGGAGGGCCGTCCTGGGGCATGTGTCACATGGCCCAGGGCACCCCCATGGAGGCCCCACCTGGGACAGAGGTCCACCTGTGTGTCCCCAGACTGCCCCATGGACTCGCTGGGTTGGCAACCACTCTTCCCTGGCTAGCAGGGCCCAGGGACTCACTTTCCTCACCTGCCCATCTGGAAAACGGGGCCTCGGGCTCCATGGGGCCGCGTGGGCTGAGAGCAGCCAGGCTGGCCGCCACAGAGACGCCCTTGGGCGGCAGGAGGCCGGGATCAAAGGCAGGAGGGCTTGCGGGGGAGCCTGTCCTGGCAACCACCGCTCTGCTCCCAATCCTGCAGCCTATGGGGTCCGCTCCAAAATCCCTCAGGAGATCCTCAGCCAAAGACGGTAGAGGCCCAGGGCTGAGGCAGGTGCGGGGGGTGGGGGTCTCAGGTCTCAGAGAGGAGCCGAGGCTGGCTGGGGCCAGAGAGAGTCTAAGGACAGGAGCATTCCCCCACCAGAGGCTGGGGGTGGGGGTGCTGGCTGGCTACACAGCAGGGGTGAGGGTGGGGACCTCCAGGGCTACCTTGGCCTCTCCAACCTCGGAGTGGCGGGGACAGGTTCCCAACAAGGGGCAGTTGGACAGCAAGAGGAGCAGGCTGCCTGGGGCGCCTCCCACCCTCCTGAACCCGGGATTCTGCCTAAAGGCAGCAGGTTGCTGGGGCCCGACGTGCCAGGGGCTTCACGGGGGTCAGTGCACCCCGCTGAGCTGAGAAGGCTCCCTCCTCCTCCCCCTCCCAGACCCCGCGGGACCGATGACCGCGGCCCCAAGCCCCACCCCACCGGGACGGGAAGGGGCCTGGTGGGCCGCCGGGCAGGTGGGACGCCGGTGCCCTGGAGTCGAAGCCCCGGACGTGAGCGGCGCCCACGTGCGCGGGTCCGCGCGTACCTTGGGGGAGCCAGGCAGCCCCTCGCTGTTGGCCAGGGTGGCGTTGGGGGG